ATTGTTGTTTGGCGGGTCCGGGCTGGGGATTCGAACCCGCCACCTTAGGTGTATGTGGCTGGTGCCTTAGCCGCTTGAGCCACAGGCGCCGAGCCTAGTGTAACATTTTAAATGTGACATTTGTTTTTCTTTGACTAAACAGGAATAAATGTGTGACTTCTGGCAACCTGTGGAAGCTGAAGACACTATGCATAATTTTGGGAGATGATAGAAATGATTTTGCAGATGTTTTATCATTAATATTTGTTTGCGGTCAGATTGCCCACTGTAGTATCTTGATACTACCACCTCAACAAGTGCTTTCCTCTGATGCTCACAAATCATTCGATAAATATTCGGATATCTGTGCTAGGGATATAACTTGTAATATTATGATAGAAATAATTGTGAATAATATAATTTTAAGATGACTAAGGAACAATCAGGCTTTTCAGTGGCAGATAAGCACTTAGATGCACTTTGGATTTAAATCTGGTTTCCTGTCATGGCTCTGCTTTTTCTTAGCCATGGGATTTAAACAAATCATTTTTTTGTTTTCTTTTAAGAGTAATAATATTTACATCCTCCATTGTTGTAAGGTGTTAAAGGAGGTGATAAGCATAAAATGCTTATCATATTGCCTGGTATATAATAAGTGCACAGTGAAAGTTGCTGTTTTTACAGCTATTATCATGTAATTGAAAATTTTCACCAAAATTATTTTATGTTTCTTATGTAAGGTAACGGATCAACCTTATGTTCAACAGACACTCAGCCTCTTACTTCCACTGTTGGGATTTTTCATTCAAACTCTAGATCCTCAACTGATAAGTCAGGTAGGAACAGTGACCAACTTAATGCTTTAAACATTTGCTAAGGAAGTTGTTAAACTGGTATACTCAAAATAACTTTCCAGAAACATTTCTTTAAAATTATTTATTTAAAAGCATTTAAAACTTGTTATTAGTTGCCCAAGAAAATTCCTTGACGTTAGAAGTCCTACTTCATTTGTCGAACTTTGCATTTGTGGTAATTTCAAAGGCATTTCATCAGCTGTGGGAGTGTGGAATATAACCAGTCTGGATCAAAGAAGAGGTCCCCAGCCTTTTTGGCACTAGGGACTAGTTTCATGGAAGACAATTTTTCCATAGACAGAAATTTCCATGGGTGGGAGTGATTTTGATAGGAGTTTGCAAGCAACTGATTTATTATGGTCTCTGTGCAGTCAAACCTCTCTGCCAATGAAAATCAGTATTTGCAGCCACTCCCCAGCTCTAGCATCACCACCTCACCACCCCCACCCCCACCCCAACTTCTTGCTATGTGGCCCAGTTTCTAACAGGCCACAGATGGCCTGGTGTTTGGGGACCACAGGGTTAAAGGATAACCTTCATTGTTTCTTTGAAGGAATAAAATGATTTTGAAAGAGGAGCATTTGTGAATTTTCTCTTTGGTCCCCAGCTTATACAACTGACTAGGACAAACAGAACTTGGTCATTATCTGAGAGATCCTTGTGGAGGTGCTTTAGTTATGCAGTTCTTTTGGTAGTTCTAAGATAACAAAGAGACAGTGAAAAGGCCTTTAGCTTATCTGAAGTGATTCAGAGGCTTTAGAACAGTGGTTCTCAACCTTCTTAATGCTATGACCCTTTAAATACAGTTCCTCATATTGTGGTGACCCCCAACCATAAAATTATTTTCATTGCTACTTTGTAACTGTAATTTTGCTACTGTTATGAATCGTAATGTAAATATCTGATATGCAATATGGTCTTAGGCAACCCATGTGAAAGGATCATTTGACCCCCCAAAGGGGTTGTGACCCACAGGTTTAGTATGAGTGGACTGGACAGAATTGATCCCCCCCCCTTCAGGAACTTCTCCTTTGCGTTCACAACTAGGGATAACTCACACAAGAGGCTTAGCTTTCTTTCAGTCTATCTTAGCTTTTTCAACAGGCTCGCTAAGTTTAATCATTTCTAGCTTTTCTTTTAAAATGAGAGGCTTAACAGTGTTCCTTTTACTTTAACACTCAGAAGCCATTGTAGGCTTAAATTGCCTAATTTCAATATTATTGTATCTCAGAGAATAGGGAGGCCCCAGGAGAGGGAGGCTGGGTAACTGCCAGTTGGTGAAGCAGCCAGAACACACAAAATTTAAGTTTGCCATCTTGTGTGTGGCATGGGTTTTGGTTTCCCAAAGTAATTATAGCAGTAACATCAAAGATCACTGATCACAGATCGCCATAACTGACAGAAGAGTAATGAAGAAGTTTACAGTAGTGCAAGGATTACCAATATGTGCAGGGAGCACATGCTTTTGGAATAATGGTGCTGTCTTGCTAGTTGCAGGGTTGCCACAAGCTTTCAATTTGTAAAAAATAAATACATAATCTATGAAGCACAATAAAGCAAAGTACAATAAAATGAGGTATATGTCTATATGAAATAATTTTTAAACTTTCTAGGAACACATGTATTTTTATATTTTACAGTGGTTAAAGGCAAGAGGGCATGGTAAAAAAAAAATGTACTAACTGACTTGTTCATTTGTTTTATTCAGATTCTATGTGAAGTTCAGGCTTTATAGTGCGTTTGGTTGTTCTGGTTTTGTTTTCCATCCCCATAGTTCCACCCAAATCTTAAGATAGCATTATCCCTATGGAAAAGACTACTTTTATTTATAACTGTTATCTGGTCTTCCCTCTATAGGTCATGACTTTGCAGACATCACTACTTAGATTAGAGCCTCCTGACCATGTTTGTTTGGCAATGCTGGATTTTGTATCTTCTCTAAGAAAACTTTTTATACCTCAAGCTATCCAGGTAATATATATTCTTTAACTCTTTTTTATTAAGAGACAGGAACTTGCTTTGTTGCCTAGGCTGGAATGCCGTGTTGCAATCATAGCTCACTGTAGCCTCAGGCTCCTTTCCTCAGCCTCCTCCCAAGTATATCTGCCTAATTTTTAAATTTTCTTTGAATATGAGGTCTCACTATGTTGCTTAAGCTCGTCATGAATGTTCCTATATTTTGAAAACAAAATCTCTGTAAGAATTACTAAGTATTTTTTAAGCTTTTAATTCCTAAACTTCTGTCATAACATTACTGATAATAAAGTTGGAAAAAGGAAAGCTATTTTCCAGAGAAAATAATTGTCAAAGTAGAACTTTAAGTTATTTTCTTTTAGAAAAGTATATTGACATACAAATTAACTGGCTTTAATCTGGAATATAAGATTCTCATTCAAATTGGGCACTAGTACACAGTTCCTGAGGATAGAAACACATAATAATGTCTTCTAGGGAATAGCGTATAATTAGGAAAACGGATAATTTTAATATTTTCAAAAATATTGCAAAGTATTTATAGCTGACAAATAAGATTCTTATAAAATTATAGTGTAAGAGCCTAACAACATACATCTACTGAATTGAGATGTAGATGTTCATAAATTGAGAATTTTGCTTTCCTTATTACTAGAGTTTAATAACTTTTTTTTAAACTCCAAAAGAGAGACTATAAAAAGCTCCACACTAATGAGAACTTCTTACGTAATCAGAGCAAACACATAATGTTATCTCAGTACATGCTGATTGAACTCCTTGAAACCAAGAATATAACTTGATTACTTTCTAAAAGGTTCTCTTATTCACAAGTTAATGACAGTGTCCCATCTGTTTCCAGCATGCAAGGGTGTATTTCTTGAGGTGTGTATGTTGACAGCTTCTTTTTAATTTCCTTGACAAAAGTATCCAAAGATACTTGGCCTCTGAGCTGTCTTCTTTTTACCATAAAGTAGTTCGTTCCAAAATGTTGTTTCATTCATCTATAGCTATGGACCATTTGTAGGCCCTGAACCTATGAAACAAGTATTTCATTAACAGAAATCACAATGCCTTATTATTATACCAAGGATGAAGTCAGGGCTTGAAGAAATTTTGGGGATTCTTGGAGATTCATCAGCATAGAGGAGGCATTTAAAGCATGAAATGGGCTCAGCGCCTATAACTCAGTGGTTAGGGTGCCAGCCACATCCACTGGGGCTGGTGGGTTCAAACCTGGCCAGGGCCTGCTAAACAATGACAATAACAAGAAAGCAGCAGAGCGTTGTGGCAGGCACCTGTAGTCCCAGCTACTTGGGAGGCTGAGGCTGAGGCAAGAAAATTGCTTAAGCTCAAGAGTTTGAGGTTGCTATGAGCAATGTATGACAGAGGGCAACATAGATGCTGTCTCTAAAAATAAAAAAAGGCACGAAATGAGATTGTTTTATTTACCCATTCAAGAAAAATGGGTTTTTGCTTTATCGGGTACTGTTTTGATCATTGGTAATACAATAATAAACCAAACTAATAAATCCCCATCTGTAACAGACAATAACGTGTTAATATGTAATTGTTAAATTGTCGTAACTGCTATGGAGAAAAATGAAGCAGGGAAGGGGGACAGAGAATATGGAGGTAGGGGTTCAGTCTGCAATGGGATACGGCTAGTGGAGTCTGCGCCAATGTGACGTGCAAGTAAAAACCTTTAGACGAGGGATTAAGCCATCTAGGTATCTAGGGAAGCAGCAAGTGCAAAGCCTTAGTGATGGAGCATGCCTGATGTACTCCAGATTCTGGGAGCAGGGCTTTGCAGGCCATTGTAAGGACTTTGGCTTTGACTCTCAGGGAAATAGGACGCTATTAGAAGGACCTGAGCAAAGGAGTGATGACCCAACATGTTTTAAATACCTTTTCACAGGGACAGATTATAGAAATTTGACAACATTGGGTATATTAAATGTACTCTAGTGAGGGTTCTTTTTCTCTCTTTAGGACAACATTCTGCCCAACCTGTCATGTATTTTTGCTTTACTGTTAGCTGATAAGAATTGGCTGCTAGAACAACATACCTTGGAGGCGTTTACTGAGTTTGCTGAGGTAATTATAAGATTAATTTATCATGAAAAAAAAAGATTAATTTATCATGATGATGTCCAAAACACTTTAATATTTCATGTATTCCAAAACATTCCAGAAAGATTTATTGAGCTGCTTTTGTATCCTAATTATAAAATTATTTGGAGAGAATATTACTAATTATCTATTTTATAGGATCTCAAAATGAAGCCTAGAAAGATGAAGTGAATTTCCTAAGGTCCTCTGAATAACAAGGACCAGAACAGGCATTCAAACCAGGCCTATTAATGTAGGCCTTGTCTTCAGGCAGTATTTCTGGGTTGAATAATACATTTCATATTGAACCGTCATTAGAGTCAGGTTGATGAACCTTCTACACCTGTTAGTCAGGTCTGTGGAGAAGGTAACCTCCACCATCGTTTGCTCCTTTGCTCTTACCCATTTGTGCAGTTGGGGCTGTGCCAGAGACATCAGCATGACTGAGCAGAAGTAACACTGGCAGCACTAAACCTGTACAGAAGTTAATATAGTATCATCCTAAGGCACTCTGAATTAATTACAAGCTTATCATCTTTTATTATTTTCTGGCACTATTTTCTTTTAAAATGAATTTTTGATTAAAGGTGCTCTTAGAACTCATGTATTTGTCTTTGTAACTTACTGAAATATATTAAAATTGGTCTTGTTTACCAATCTTAATAGGGAACAAATCATGAAGAAATAGTTCCCCAGTGTCTCAGTTCTGAAGAAATGAAGCACAAAGTTGTATCTTTTCTGGAGAAGGTATTTATTTATATAGCCCATGTCTTATTCTATAGCATAATTATAACCTACTTGAGAGTCTTCTTAGCTTAAATTTTTCAGAGCTCACACAGATTAAGCAATTATAAGTTACAGCAATGCAACATTTGGAGTCGCTCTACTCTCCGTCAGTGGTACCTGAGATACAGTAGCATTGATTATCCAGGCTGTGAGATGACTTAAGAGGATCCTAGGCCATTACTAATGATCATAATTAGGATGTTTATTACCATATGTTAGGCCTAAATTAGGCATTACTTTTCTACAGCCAGGATTTATTTTTCCAACATTATTTTTAAAGCTATTTTTACAGTTGAGACCAAAGTTTTAAATCCCAGGGCTTCCATGTTTGCATACTTTAGAACTTAGTGACAATGTGGGGGTATGTTAAGGGTTAACTGAAGTACTAACAGAATTAAACTACAAATTAAGAATTCCAGGAGAAAGTATAAGACTGTCATTTTTTCCCAGAAAGAGGACTCCTTAGTTTTTCTGTAGGAAAGAACACAGTCATTAACCAGATTACAGTAAAAGGAAGCATTTACAGATGCTTCCAACTAACTTCCAGAATTTATCCTGTTCAAGACTGGCTGGAGACAAAGCTTATACAAATTATTTAGCCTCTTCATTTTCTGAGTATTAAGAAAATATGCTAATAGAGAGTGCCTAACCCTAACATTTCCTTGGTTTTCATGGTCTCTGAAGACTGGGTTTGTGGATGAAACTGAAGCTGACAAAATAGAACGTATAAAATGGGAAAAAGGTATTTTTTGGAAACACTTTACTAAAGTGACTACAGAAGTAGCAGAAAGGTCACCTTTACAGGTATGGGCTGCCTTTTACTACTGAAAATACAGAAGCTAGCTTGGTTCTTGGCCTTATGCTGAATCTCAAGTCAATGCCCTAGACATACGTGTAAAGTCCTCTTTTATAGTAGTTGCTCTTTAAGAAATCACATTTCTTCTTCCTGAGAAGTTGTCAACACAGAATCGAGACCTCAAGAAAGTAAGAAAGCTTTAAACGTGACACATATTAAATACCACATATACTCTTTCAATATAACTTTCTATTCATGGTAACCGTAAAGGGAAGTTATGTATCATACCAATGATGTTACAAATGCAGTAGCTTCTGAACTGCAGGAGAAAATTAACTTACCTTCCAAAATGTGTAGTTTTATCCTTGCCTCATTCATCAGATCAACCTCTTAATAGTTTTTGTTTTTGGCAGTATATAAAAAGTCCCATCTACCTATCAGAAAGCAGGAAGTTATACTAATAAGGATATTTGAAATATTGTTTGGAGCATTAGCAGTATATGTGGAATAGTAATCCATGAGGAATAATGTTCTGCTAAGTTTTAATCACAATTCTTATAAAAAGAAAATAAGTTTGTTAATTTATTTTTAAGACATGTAGTTTTTATGCCTAAAACCTATAAAGTTCATTATGTATCAGTTATGTAAATAAGCCCTCATGAATTTAAATTTATTGTGACCTTCCTTAGGAAGACCACGATTATAAAGAGATGTCTTGGCCCCACCTCTCTCCCTCCCTAGTGCAATGTTTGAAAGTTTACATTTTATTGAACTGGCTTCCAAAAAAATCTGAAAGATTATAGTTCTCATCAATTACAAAGAAAACAAAAGCATGTATAAAATTCACACATGGTGCTTTTGTATAATGATGGATTGTATGTCTGAAGAATACTCACTGGATATTACTGACAAGGCAGCACTTCTCATTGGGAGTGCACTGGGATAGGACAGAACATTCTCTTATAAGCCACATATAAGCTAAGGTACTGGAGACAGCACCTTGAATCACTCTCATAAACCAAAATGCCTTCTCATATTTTTCTAGATGACTGTGAGAGTGGGGATGGGTGTGTGTGCTCTTTTCCACCCTAATGATCCAATGACTAGAATAAAATTTGCACATAAACTTTTGCAGTTTTAGAATTTATTCTGATAAGCTTTATTCTAGTCCAAAAGGAAAGTTCTATTTTTAGGATGGGTATTATGGCATTACTTTATCACATTACTTTTCATTTTCCAGCCTTTTGCAAAAAGAGCTCGTCATGAGTTCCCCTTGGAAGAAGAGTACAGGTCAGCATTGCAAGGAGTAGCAGGGGGCTTGGAAGCAACTGAGTCATTACTCCAGAAAGCTCCTGCTCCTGCCTGGCTTCTAATGGAAATGGAGGTGCTCCAAGAAAAGATAGATAAGCTGAAACGTCTGCTCTAGGGTATCATCACTAGGTAGACCTGCAGTTGGTGCTTTGTTTTGTAAAAGAAGATACTGATGTAATTATGTATGTACATTTTCTAACACATAAAACAGCTTTTATAAAGTTGAATCTAGTGAAAATAGTCTTTATTGACATTTAGAGAACAAGAGGATCGTGGGGGATATTTCTCATTAAGAACTTTGGTACAACGTAATACATGTGTCAAGGTCCACCCAGGACCATTCACTTAGTACAACTGTAAACAAATAAATAAGCTGCCTAAGAAAACCTTAGCAATTTTAAATCATTTATATAATTTATAGCTAAAATTTTTTTCAGTAAGTTGTATTTCATAATAGAGCTTACTCTTCTTTCTGTTAAAAGAAATGGCACAAAATTAAGCTAACCAGCTTGAATTTTTATTTTCCTTCCAGAATTATCCTGGAAGAGGTTGTAAATTCAACCTTTCCTCAGCTACTTGCTCTTCATAGAAATTGAACTCGGGCAAATGCACACAGGCTCTTCCTCCTGGAAACCAGTACTGTGAGCCTCTTCACCACCCGGGGTTTTTAGCCAGCACACCAGGTTGGTCTCACACTTCATTTGGCACTGACTGGAAAAAGAGTTCCTGGTATGGGAAAAACAGGCCGCTTTGGGGTTTTCTGGTCCATAGAGCCTGCTTTTGAGGTATTAATTTGATTTTTAAAAGCTTTTCCTAAAGTTTAACTTACATCTATTGTCACCAGTTACTATCTTCCCAGTTCAGCTCCCCTTCGTCTCCCCAGCCTTCAGCCTCTCCCTGCAACAAAATAAAGCACACCAAGAGCAACCCGCTGAAACAAATCTTATCCAAATGTGAAAAACCAGGAATTTTAAACACTTGTCTTTTAATGCCAGAATACCTCATACTAAATTTAAAAAGCAGGATTACTTTGGTCCCACTATTACAAAACTAGGGCACTGGAAAAATAACAATCCAGTTCAAAAAAAAATTAGTCTTGATGATACCAGATTTCTGGCTTAATCCCTTTTTCAAATAAAAAGGTTAAATACTTAGCCTAAGCATTGCTTACATTTCTCTGGGAAAGGAAACACACCATTTATAGGAACTGATTTTGTTGCTTTTATGCTTGACTTGTTTTAGCCAATTATATATATTACTATTTGCCTTCGATGGGAAAACAGCATGTTTGTTATAAATGGAACAGTCCTACTAGGACCTCCAAGGGAAATCCTTAGACGAGGAGTATAATTTAATTCAAAAAAAGTACCCACCTCAGTAATCTCTGCTGCAGCAAATTTTGAGGAAAACTGCATCACTGGTGAGACATCATCTTTGATTTCTGTCCTTAATTCAGGTAAAATAAGGAAAGCAGCTGAAGGCTTAATGTCTGGGATCATATCAGCAAACCAGTCCAACTCGGGATCTGGTACTGGCTTCTTTTTTACTTGAATGGTAAATTCCTCTCCTAAACCAAGTTCTAAAGGAAATTTAAGGGGCTTTTCTTGTGATGACCCTTTTGGTAGCTTGATTTGGTCCACATCCTCCCTGCTTTGTGTGAGACTGGGGCTTGGGGGTAGGCTTGATTTCCAAGGTTTAGACTCTTCAGTGAGTGGAAGCAAAGCAGGAATGGGGTTCTGCTCCCTGGAGGTGACAGGTTTTGCAGCAGTGATTCTACCTGTGGGGGCTACTATAGTATCTAAGCTGCTGGGCTCACAATCACCCCAAGATGATGACTCTGCATCCAACGTAGCACACTGGGACTGGCCAGCATCACTTGGTTCTCCAGTCCAAATCTGTATGTTGACAGTTTGGTTTTCAGGCTCCTCGGGCTCACTCCAGTCAGGCCACTCCTCAGACTTCTTAGAACTTGATGGCAAGTTTTCACTGTCCTCTGAAGTATTTTTCACATCTGAGATTCCATTCATGGGAAATTTAATAGGCTGAGCAAACTGATCACCTGTAGGAATATGTACAAGAGTTACTCTCTTAAAATACTGGTTAAAAGCAAGCAGAATGTTTAGGAGGTGAGCATTAAGGTAATACCTGGAAATATCCATGCAAACAAGAGATCCAGCAGAATGTTACTTAGCAAAGATGTTTTGTGTAAGTCATCCAAATACTTACCATTTAGCATGGGAGGGTTTTTTTGCCCAATGTCAGCAGAAAAAGAAAACACTTATATAATACTGTTAACTCAATAGAAGCATATAACTGAAACATCCAGTTCTTTACCAAATAGTCAAACATCCTTTGTTGGCACAATTGTCTATAAACAAACACAGAAATGCTCTATACCAGGCAATGTTACCTTAAGATGTTATTCCACATGCCCTGAAAAAGTGTTGTGTGCTCAAGTAGGTTTGCCTAACTTTTTATCTTCATCTTAAGCAGATTTTTCCAAGTGCAGTTAAAGCACTGAGCAATCCCGTGCAATGTGCTAATGACTTTGCTAAACTAAACCACAGAACTCTTTTTTTCCTCCCACAAGGCACCCTCTAACATCTTTCAGAAATATTGTTTTTGGTACAACTTTGAAGATGATGCACGAAGGCAGGCATCAAAAGGTCTGAAAGTAAAGTTATCTGGTGCAAAAGAGTAATGTCAATCTGCTCTTGAAGAAAGTAGGCATATACCAACACTCTGGGGAAACAAGATGAGACCAAAGCTGACTATCTGATTATAAAGAGAAGAAATCAGTCTCAAAATTCCCCCCCAAAAGCTATTAATTTTCAGAATTTAGACTTATTACTCTGAGGAAACACTCATCTAGCAATGGAAAAGCTATATAACTAAACACTCTACCTGTCTGTAAAAGGGTATTGTCGTAATCTCACTGTATGTGCTTCTTCATATTGATGGGTTGTACACTGCCTGAAAAATATTTAGGGAACCATGCTAGGGGAGGGGTTCTCTAAGATGGGCGAGGTCTGGCTGCAGATGACATGCATGGGAGAATAATCTGAAGGTACACAAAACTCCCAACAATGAAAGGGGTACTAAGATTCTTAATCTACCACATGTTTGGTGAGCACTTGTTAAGGGTATATTTAACACAGGTAAAAGCTGCAGGGAGAGAACATCTTCAAACATCTGAAGACATACCTTTTATGGAATGGACTGCCTATGCCTGCACAAAACTATACATTTAAAAATGGTTAAAATAAATTTAAGCTATGTATATTTAACCACTAACTGGGAAAGAAAAATTTCAAGACAAATTTTTTTAGCAGTTTACCAGAAAGGTTATACTCAAAATTGGTCATTTGTCAGAAAGATTCTAGCAGCGTTTTGGCTGAATGGTTCCTCTGCCTTAGAAGTGAGGGAGGGCAAGGCTGGGGTAAAGGCCTCAGCTATTTGTGCCACTATTCTGCTGAAGTCCTACCTAATGTCTTACCCAAATGTGTTTTCCAACTCTCTTTCAGGCAGACTCTTTTTTATTTCCCTTAGTTAATACCTTTCATAAACTTTAATATTAGCCTCATTCTTAAGTCTGACCTTGCAAGTAAACTGACTAGTTAAGAGTACTTCCCTTATACCTGTACCTTTCCCAACAGCGCCCCCATGACTTTCAGGAAAAAGGCTGCTATTAAATAAAAATTCGTAATACAGGGCTCTGTAGTTTTCCTCTATGAGGAGCCTGACCTATAAAGTGTCTCCAGAAAAATCTTTCTTAAGAAATTTAACTCTGGGCAGCGCCTGTGGCTCAGAGGACTAGGGCGCTGGCCCCATATTTCACATATACTGGAGGTGGCAGGTTCAAACCCAGCCCCGGCCAAAAACTGCAAAAAAAAAATCAGCTGCTGCTGCTCTGGTGCCATTCCAGTTTGTTATTAAAATTACAGAGTAATCTAGATGGATATAAACAGATGTGTTCTTCAGTATATAAACTGTCTACAACTAGGTACTGCCATCTAATAAATAAAACCTGTTAGGGGTGGGAATGTTTGCTAATTCAGCATTCAAAGCTGACTAACCCCCAACCCTTATCTCAAAACTATGTCTCTGAAAACAAAACAACTCTGATGTGATTATGTAATCTGCTAAAAGAAAAACTGGTAACAAATCAGGCAACATCCAATTTGGTGTGCACATTACACAGCTGAAAATGAGGCAATGGTCTCTGTATCACCATTTTCCAGGTTTTTGGAGCTACAATGACACTGGTTTAATTAGCACCAAGGAAGAGTTGAACTCTCCTTAAAACTTCAGGTAGCCAATGTTACTCTGAAAATTTTACTGGCATCAAAATTATCAAAAAGGCTATGTGATAACCATTTTTATACAAATAAGTATTTCTATGCTATCTATTCATTATCAATTAATTAGAACTGAATTAGAGGTCCAGAATTTCACAACACTGTGGTCCTATTCAAGGCCATACAAAGGAACAAAGAAGCAATGACACTTGATATAAAACTTTTTTTGCTGATGAGATGGAATCTGGCTATATTGACTAGGCTGGTCTCTTAGGTTCAAGGGATCCTCCTGACTAGCTTAGAAAGAGCACAAGCCACCAAGTTTATCTAATTTTTTGTATATTTTTAGAAAGAAAGTCTTACTAGGTTGCCCAGGCTAGTCTCAAACTCCTGCCCTCAATGGATCCTCTGCCTTAGCCTAGGAAGTAGATAGGATTACACATGCCAATCACTGCACCCTGCTGATTCACAGACCAGAAACTACCATTACCTTCCAGGTGACAGCCAATGGAAACATACCAGAAATAAGGATTTCTTAAAGTACCTAAAAATCAACATCTTTTTACCCAACAGGCTACAAAAATCATAAGAACTTAAAATATATCCTTTTACTCAGTAAGTCTACTTCTGAAACTTCATCCTATTAGGAATAATCTTAGTATCCATAAATATAAACTGCTCAAGTCTCTTACATAAAATGGCATAGTATTTACATATAACCTACACACATACCATATACTTTAAAATCATCTTTTAAGATACTTATAATACTTAATACAAGGTAAAGTAAATATGGCAGAATCTCCATAACCGATCACCTCCCTACATTGACCACCACCTTAGGTTGACCTAATTTTCATAGACCACACATGCACCCCATGTATCTATCAGTACAACAGGCCTAGTTCCTTATGTTGACCACCTCTGTATGGTGAAGTTTGTTACAGTCCCTTGGGTGGTCAACTTACAGAGGTTCTACTGTAGGGGTTGAAATATGTTTGTTTTTCTCCCCCCATATATTTTTGATCCATACCTGCTTGAATCTGCAGATGTATAACATAGATCTAAGAGGCTGAATACATGTGTAAAGATACATGTATAAAGATATTTATTGCATATATTGCATTGTTCGTAGTGATTAAAAAGCCAGAAACACGTCCATGAATAAGGAAATCACTGAATAAATTATATTCAATAAAATGGTAGGCAGCTATCAAAAAGAGATTTCCATGCATTAACTTGGAAACAGGTCCCTCATATGCTGCCAAATAAAAACTAGTTATAGATTTGTGCACAGTATTTTCTCACTGTAAAGTTCTACACAGCTGTGTATCAGGTAGCAATGGGGATACATTCTGAGAAATTTGTAATAGGTGGTATTGTCCTTGTGCAAACAGAATGTACTCACACAACCCTAGATGTATAGCCTAATACCCCAGCTATAAACTAGTACAGCATGTCACTGTACTGGAGGTTGTGAACAGTTGTAACACAGTAAGTATTCTATGCTTATCATTTCTACATGTAGAAAAGGTACAGTAAATTAACAGTATAAATTATAAAAAATGGTACACTTGTATGGGCACTTCCCATGAATGAAGTTTGTTGGACTGAAAGTTGCTCTGGGTGTGTCAGTGAGTGAGTGAATGTAAAGGCCTGAGACATTATTCACTACTGTAGACTTTAAGAACATTAAAGCTACCCTAAATTTAAAATATATATGTATTTCTCAATAAACCTTAGCTTACTGTAACTTTTTACTTTAAAACTTTTAAATTTTTCTTAACTTTTACTCTTTTGTAATAACACCTTAAAACACACATTATACAGCCATACAAAAACAGCTTCTTTATATCCTTAGTCTATAAACTTTTTCTATTTTTAAGGTTTTCTTTTTAAATTTTTGTTAAAAACTAAGACACAAATACACATATTAGCCTAAGTCTACACAGGGTCAGGACCATCAGTATCACTGTCTTACATCTGCACCCCATCCCACTGGAAGGTCTTCAGGGGCAGTGACACAGGGAGCTGCCATCTCCTGAGACAGCAAGGCCTTCTGGACACCTCCTGAAGGAGCCGCCCAAGGCTGTTGTATGATTAAACTTAAAAAGCATAGTGTAGTAAATACATGAACCAGTAATAAGGCCATTTATCATTATTACAAGTACCATATATAATTGTATGGTCTTTTTATGTGGCTGGCAGCACAGTAGGTTTGTTTACACAAGCACCACCACAAACATGTGAGTACTGTGTTGTGCTACAACACACATGGATGGCTGCAATGTCACAAGGTGACAGGAATTGTTCAGCTCTATTACAGTCCCATGGGACTACCACTATGTCTATGTTCCATCACTGACTGAAATGATATTCGACCATGAATGTAGAGTGTGTGTATGTATAAACACACATTTGCATGTCTTTCTGTGAGCTTAGAAAAAGTATGAAAGGATTCCCACTGAAAATGAGTTACCTTACACCCCTCGGAGAAGTTGGGAAAGGGAAGTTAACTTTTCCCTTATACTTCCCTGTATCACTTGACTGAATATGACCCTTGTGGGCGTTACCCGTATAATATTAAAAATCTAATGAATGACAGTAACACAATAAAAAGCTAGACCTTTGAATATTTCTTACCTTCTAGGGAAAGGTCAATAGTTTTAGTAAAACTTGGGGCAGTGCGTTTGAAGATCTTGGTTCTTTCTCCTCCCACAACCACTTCTGGTCCAAGTATAGAGACCAGCACGGCTAGGCTATGAAGAGTAATTGCCACGATGGAATCGCTGGTATCACGCAGGCCCAGCAATACCTAGAAGTGAATGAGGTTGTAAGTGGAGACCACCACATTACCTATCTTTCTCTCCCTCTGTAAACAATCAATCGGACTGTAGTTAGATTGGGCTTGCTCTGATGAACGATATTTTCTTAGATATGTGTGTTCTAGGTCAGTGGCTCTCAAACTATCCATAGTAAAGGACCAGTTATTGTCCCTTCCCAATTCATTATAGGCTTTTTTTTTTTTTTTTGAGACAGAGTCTCACTTTATTGCCCTCAGTAGAGTGCCAAATGTCACAGCTCACAGCAACCTCCAACCTGGGCTCGGGTGATTCTCT